GTAACATATACATAAATGTGTAATTTATTTATCAGATTAACGAAGATCGCTGTATCTCCGACGTATGGGGTCTACCTGGGAATTTATACAGCACCACCCTCTGCTTATCTTTCTTGTTGCAATTACCAACGCAGCACTGTCTCGTTCGCATTTCGTTACTTTGTAAACGTAAACACTGATTCAGATTATGGGTGTTTTTCGCAATCGTCACAGCTAGCGGCAGCCTAAGTACGTCAACTGCTTGGAGTAGTTGGAGTTCTTGCTTCCACGTATACAACATTACAGATAAGTATGTGTGTTGTGTACTATATGACAGATGATATTTAATAACCCATTATTTAAAATTTCGGGCGATTTGAAGTGCCTAGCAAAATTATTTATCCGTATTATAGACCCGGTTTGGCTAAATAACATTTTTTTTCCGCCTTCGATTTCTCAACTAATTACTTTAAATGCAATTATATCTTTTCTCATATAAGACAACGCTTACTGTAAGATTCATGGGGGTACGGGTTCGCCAACTTTGCTCACCTACAGAGCTGCAGTCGTTTTTTTATCCCCTCCAACCTGATGCATGGAGCGAATAGAAGCCGGACGTAAAGCACTATAATATAAAAAAAAAAAAGTATTGCTATTGAAACTTATTATTTGATTGCGTTTACGGGTAAGGTTTGTTTCACAACAGAAAAAGATCAGTCAGTCGGCTGCTAGACTGCTATTCCGAGTTCAGATCGCAGTCGTTGACCTATACGCGTAGGTATTCGATGTGTGCAAGTTGGTATAAGAGAGGGGTGGCGCAACTTGTCATTTTTACACTTAGTATGTAGTCTTGGGCCGCCATTATATGGGGCGGAAATAGCCAGCGTAACGTCACAGCGGAAGAGTAAATACTCTGATGTCTCTCCCTTCCGTGAGCTTAAGAGTTCCGCTATGACGTTCCGCTGTTTATTTCTGCCTTGTGTAACCGCAAACTTAGGCTGCGTTCAGACGCAACCTCAATAGGTATCTGCAAACCGTTTGAATGCACAGGTGCAAGAGAGAGGCCGAACGACCCCCGGGGGATAAATATAACGATACAATTATATTTATCCCCCGTACCTTGACGGACAGCCACGGGCAAATGGTAATTTACGGGATTGATTTATTCCCCGTACCTTGACGGACAGCCACGGGCATGCGGTAATTGACGGGATTTATTCATCCCCTGTACCTTGACATTCAGTCACGGGCTTACGGTAATTTACGGAATTTATTCATCCTCCGTATCTTTATGGACAGTCACGGGCATACGGTAATTTACGGGATTGATTTATTCCCCGTACCTTAACGGATAGTCACGGGCTAACAGTAATTTACGGGATTTATTTACCCCCTGTACGTTAACGGACAGTCACGGGCTAACAGTAATTTAGTGGATTCATTAATCCTCTGTACCTTGACGGACTGCCACGGGCATACGGTAATTTACGGGATTTATTTATTCCCCGTACCTTGACGGACAGCTACGGGCTAACGGTAATTTACGGGTTTTATTTATTTACCGTACCTTGATGGACAGTCACGGGCTAACATTAATTTACGCGATTTATTTACCCCCTGTACCTTGACGGACTGTCACGGGCATACGGTAATTTACCAGATTTATTTATTTCCCGTACCTTGATGGACAGCCACGGGCATACGGTAATTTACGGGATTTATTTATTTTGCGTACCTTGGCGGACAGCCACGGGCATGCGGTAATTTACGGGATTCATTTATTCCCCGTACCTTGACGGACAGCTACGGGCTAACGGTAATTTACGGGTTTTATTTATTTCCCGTACTTTGACGGACAGCCACGGGCATACGGTAATTTACGGGATTTATTTATTTCCCGTACCTTGACGGACAGCTACGGGCTAACGGTAATCTACGGGATTTATTTATTTCCCGTACCTTGACGGACAGCCACGGGCATACGGTAATTTACGGGATTTATTTATTCCATGTACCTTGACTGACAGCCACGGGCATACGGTAATTTATGGGATTTATTTATTCCCCGTACCTTGACGGACAGCTACAGGTTAACGGTAATTTACGGGATCCATTTATTCACCGTACCTTGACGGACAGCTACGGGTTAACGGTCATTTACGGGATCCATTTATTCACCGTACCTTGACGGAGAGTCACGGGCTAACATTAATTCACGGGATTTATGTATATCTTGTACCTTGATGGACAGTTATGGGCTAACAGTTATTTACGGGATTTATTTATCTCCTATACTTTGACGGACAGTCATGGGCTAACAGTAATTTACGGGATTTTTTCATCTTCTGTACCTTGACGGACAGTCACGGGCATACGGCAATTTTCGGGATTCATTTATTTCCCGTACCTTGACGGACAGCCACGGGCATACGGTAATTTACGGGATTCCCGTACCTTGACGGACAGCCACGGGCATACGGTAATTTACGGGATTTTCATTTTTCGTACCTGGACGGACAGCCACGGGCATACAGTAATTTACGGGATTAGTATTGTTTGGCTAGCACGTACGTACTTCTACGGAACTTGACTTTTTGTTGCATTTGTCACGGGCAAAAATGGAAACAGGCCTTTAGGGGTAAGTGTACCTATCTCCGCGCTCTGCCCTATTACCGTGGATTTTGAAAAACTGATAATTACTTGCTTAAAATAAGAAATGTTTCATATAAAATAACGTTTTAATTTTAATAATCTAAAATGACGTTAATGTAGATGCAATTCAAACAGAAATATTTGTGTATATTTTGAGTAAATAATTATTTTCCACGGTATTCGGTACAACGCGCTCATTATCTGATTGTGTACGTATTTCCGCGGTGTGCGTACGTAAACATAACCTTATACTTATTCGCGGTAATACGTACACGGTAATAGGTACACAACCACGGTAATACCAGCACACCGTTTTTATTCGTTTTAAAAATATTCTACTGCAGTTTTAGCTTCATAAAATTTTTTTTAATATTCCGTAAGAGATTATCTAAGATTAAAAAAAAAAAGTATTCCAAAAAATTTTAGTATACCATTTTTTATGGTGCATTTAAGTTGGAATTTTCAGTACGTGCCACGGAGATAGGTTCACTTACCCCTATATGCTAGATAAATTATCTGTACTGAAGGTAACAGAAGTGGCTTTTTTCTTAGTAATCTTGAATATTTTTTTACACCGACACGAAACGGAGGGGCCTGAATATCCACTGCCGAATAGGGGTAAGTGTACCTATCTCCGTGGCACTTACTAAAAATTCCAACTTAAATGCACCATAAAAAATGGTATACTAAAATTTTTTGGAATACTTTTTTTTTTAAATCTTACATAATCTCTTACGGAATATTAAAAAAAATTTTATGAAGCTAAAACTTCAGTAGAANCTGACTCGAATGTAAGAAGCTGTATCCATCTGACAAAAAAATAAATATTTATATAGTTTCTCAACAATTACTTCCATTAGGTCGATTTGTTTCTTATAGTTTACATAACACTTGCTGTACACTGTTCCACTATAACGATGAAAAATTAATTTCTTGCACTTAATTGAGGTTATGGTGCAGGTTATGGTGCGCCACGTTGTCAGTGAAGATGGAGGTACACTAAGACCCTGCCTCAGAGAAGATGTATCCTATATCCACGTCCTTACTTGCAGCAAATGTAGTGCAGTATACGCCAGAGCTGCAGGTCGCACGAGTTCTTTACTGCAATCGAACCACCGCAGTACCAATTTTCAATCCGACCACCCGTGATTACGCTCACGATCGCAGTGCTATCGTGCGAGCGTGCGAGCACTGCGATCGTGCGAGTTTTTTCTCTCACTAGCGCCCTTTCAGCATGCGTGAGTGGTGGCACCTACAAGCTTCCGTAGATTTGGCATGCATTTGGGAACCGCTGGGTATGCTCGTGCTTACCCGAGGATAGGAGGGTAGCACGGGGTGCAAGAAGCTCGACAACACTTGGCTTTGTTAAACGTAAGGGTTTATTTATTCAATAAGTACAGAAGTGCGTGTGTTACTCGCGCAAGCCAAAACCGGACTGACTAGCTGGTCAAGGAGTTGCCAGCTTAGCTAGCGGCATATCCCGAGCCTCGATTAGCCGTTCGGTAGCGCCATCTGATGAGTACTGAAGATGTCGCGCGGAACGAGAGACTGCTTGCGCTTGCTCGACTGTGAAGTCGGAGCCGCCACACACTTAAGTACCCCTATTTACTGCTATTTCAAGCAGCTACGCCAGCTACTCGAGACTCGAGACTCGAGACTATATACCTACAAACTGGCAACGCCTCTATATACGTACGAATCTACGTTCTTCTGCTTCATATTTGTATTTTAGTTCTCGCCAGTTTCAACGTTAACTCCATGCATACAAGGTACGCATATACGAAAAATGTATGTGACTTATTAAGTTTACTCGTGTGTTATCGACGACATTTCTAATTTAGTTGCTTGCAAACATACAGAAACAATTTTTCTCGTTTAAAAATTTTGAGGTTGGCTCTTTTTTCTTGTCCATGTATTTATCTTAGCTTGGTAGCTAAATTATCATTGTATATACTGCATATTTATACGTATGCCAAGGACACCAAAAGTTTTTGAGCATTGTGCTCGCTCTTCGTTTGAATTAACATTTTTGGACTTTAGTATCTGAAGACTTCATTTTCAGTGTAAAGTTAAAATTTGTTTCAAAAGTTCAGAATAATTTTTTTTTTTTTTTTTTTTTTTTTTTTTTTTTTTTTTTTTTTTTT